CCTTGGTGAATTAATGTAGTGCATCTTGTAAATGGTCCACATTCTTGACACTATGCACAGGTGGTGAAGAGATGAATGTTTAATGTGATGGTGATGATCAAGCAGGTTGCTTTTTCCTGGGTGGGTAAGGAGGGCATAATTTTTTCTTTAAGGACATTTTTTGAGATTTTCTCAAGGACGATTTTATTGATTTTCAGGGGCTCATTTTACAGTCCCACTAACTCCTTTATTAGGTGATGCTGTCACATAGTAACCATACCTTCTTGTACTTAGGTCCTGGCTGTTTCTTGTGTCATTCCACTGGACCTCATTCTGGAATATCAGTAGAAGCCTGGGGAAAATCAAAGGAATTCATACACAGCAGGAGGAGTTTCTAAAACCCCCACCAGTTTAAGGAAGCTGTCAAAAGCTGTACAATCATGAACAGTGGGTGATAGCTGGGAGGATTTATTAAGCCTGATTGAAGAGTGAATAGCAACATACCATCATTAAAACAGGCAGGAGTGGAGTTAAGGAGTGATGATGATAATGTTTGAAATGGTTTAAATTTGGCTTGAGTTTTCAGTGCAGCTTCTGTTTTTGATTCTTTAAGTTATGATCACAGTTTCATTTTCCCTGCTTCATTCAGTCTTGTCACATTTTGCTGGAGCACTCCAGGCACGCTTTAGAATTTGCAACCTAAGGTACCAATGCACTTGGTTCAATATCACCTGTAGTATCTCATCCATTCAACACATATATGAAGTTAATCAACCAAACTGGAAAGTAATGGAAACAGTAGTCTTAAAAGTATCTAAGTTATTTTCTGTTTTTGTTTTGTTTTACACAGTAAGAGTGACTTCTTGACCAGTGCAATATCACGTCTTGCAGTACCATGGCAATCCTTAGCAACTTGCCATGGCAACAGCACATTGTGTGGCATCACATGACTTAGGTACCACTGTGCTTCGAGGAAGTAATTTTGATAAAAATAGGAGAGAAATTGTACAAAGAGGAGAAATAAAACGTGCCCAGTGTTATGAAAAAGTGCTTCACAACCACTGAGTTCTTATGTCATTCATGTATAGCAGAATCCCAAAGACACAAATGAGAAGAAAAATTAATAAAAAGAAAATAAAGAAAGGGACAATGGGGATACACAGCTAGGGGATGAAAGAAAGGAAGTAGACTGGAGACAGAAGAATTAGGGCAGAGATGAAGAAAAGCAATAAACAGTGGAAAAAAACCTGCAAAATAGTGAGGGAGAGAAAAATCAGAGGGATAAAATGGGAAGAAGAGAAACAGGTGGAGGGATAGAGAAAATAGAGAGGAGAGGAGAGGAGGGAAGATAGGGAATAAATAGAAAAAAGGGAAAAAGAAAGTAAATAAAAGTGAAGAAAGGAATGGTAAAATTGAGAATAGAAACAGGAACAAAGAGAGAAAAGAAGGTGCGAGCAAGGATGGACAGCAGGGTAGCAGGGCAATTAGTCAGTTTAAGTGCTGAGCTCTAATAATAAAGAAAACATCATTAAATTAATTGATCCTACTCTATAATACCACAAGAAGTTTCAAGGTCAACACTGACAATGTTTATATTGCTTTATGCTAGTGTAACACATTGAATAACTCTTTCATATTCAATATAATTGACAGATCAAGGGGAGCTTCACCTACAACATATTTTAACCACTGTTACAGAATTTGCTAAAAAAAGGCAGAAAATGCTGGAAATACAAGGCAAATCAGGCAACACCAGTGAAGAGAAGAAGTTAACATTTCAATTGATGGCCTTTTATCAGAACTTAAAAGAAAGTTAAGGAATAAACAGGTTTTATGGTCAGTGTTACGGAGCAGGATTGGAGAGATTAAATAGCTGCAGTTAAATAGTTAGCCATGAGGTAGAACAGTTTTTGATTCTTCTAACCTTTCTTAGGCAATTATTTAGGGAGGTAGATTAGAACCCTCTGAAATCTCTGACTCAAACTCAGGATTAGGAACCTTTTTCGAATAGCCTATTGGATATTTAAACTTCCCGAGAAATTACCCTACAATCAATGTGTCACATAATATGACCAATAGTCCTGACCGTTTCTCTCTGGATATATCTGGGCCTCCCTTTACATGGAGGCTGTAAGATTTGGACCAGTATTAAAGAGTATTCGCTGTTATAATGTAGGAAATGTTGCAGCCAGTTTCAAACAGCAAAGTCCCACATATACTAATCTGATAGTAGTCAGGTGATTATTTTTCCAGTGATGTTGGTTAAGGAATAAAAAAAGGGCAGGAAACTGGGAAAATGCCTCTCACTTCTAATAAATTTCCTCATTCCTCTTTATTATTTACCTCATTCCCCTGGTATTTATTCTCATTGCCATTCTGTTGGTGTTTGTCCTCATCCCCATGTTGATTACTCTCATTACCATTGGTGTTTGCTCTCATTCCCGTTATTTTGATTCATTCCTCATTCTCTCAGCTGATGCTGCCTCTTTTTCCTCCTCCTAATCGAAGTGCCACTTTGTTCCATCACTGCTCTTACCCCTCCCTCTCCGCATCCTGTTCCATTGCCACTCAGATCTCATCTCCAATCCATCCACAGCGTGTATTCCAGCTCACACTTGCTGCTGTGCAGGATTAAACTCTGCTGTACAATTTGGGAAGGAGCCCCTGACCTTCCACCAATAATGCAGCACGGAACGTGTTAATGTTTTGGTTGAGCAGTAGAGCATTAGGAATGGGTGAAAGGCGAAGCAGTTGGTCCTCTTGTGTTTTGTAAGTGTATGGAAACCAGGAGGTTGTAGACGTTAAAGATTCCGGTCTATATGGAGATGGTATTCATTTGAGGTGCAACAGAAAGCATCATTTTCCAATAACAACAAACATTGAGCCCTCACGAGATTATTTATTTTGATTAAAAAGTGCTACATAGGTTGTTAAAAACTTCATAACATGTTAGTCTTTAATTTATGTTTTAAAACTGCATTTTCCATACTTAATAATGATAACATCCAAAGAAAGGTTCAAGTGTAAACTTGGAGCATAGAAAACAAACCGTTCTACTGCATTTCCCAGACACATGTATTCAAAGCTACTAATAGTGGGATCTGGTGTGAGTAGTGCTGAATCCCAAGTTGTGGCCATCAGTGGCAACAGCATCTTGGAAGGTTAAGGCGTAGGGCAGCTGGGTAGAGTCAGGCCCTCATTGGCAACCCAGACTGTTTTTTTTTAAACTGATAATTATTACAAATCTGTAACAAACATTTTGATCTGGTGCTGAGCCAACATGGCTTCATTTCTTTGTGTGATAGAGTTAGTATGTAGTTAATGCACACGGTTAAAGTCGCATTGTCTTGTTTGAACAACCTTCCGTTCTCTAGACAGCATGGTGGCATTGATATGTGAATGATATACATTTTTTCTGATTTGTTATAAAAGGTGTAAATGCTGGAAGTACTCAGCAGGTCTGGTAGCATCTGTGGAGAGATGAACCAAGTTTATATTTCAAGGCAATCACTGTTTTTCTGCTAAGAGGTCAATGACCTGAAATACCTACTCTTTCCGCTCTCCACAGAGTTACTCTCTCTTGCTGTTTACAGTATATTTTACGATTTCCAGCATCTGCAGTATTTGTGTTTTGCCATCTGGTTTGCACTCTCTCTCCAAAAGAAAAACAGTTTCACAAAGACTTGCCAGTATTCCCCCTTATGCCTCATTAAGGAGTTTACTTCATCTGGAAACGTGCGCAGAGTACCGGGGTCCACATGCTCACTGGCCTGAGAGCCATTCCTCGTGTTTTTGTGCGATTGGCAGGTTGTGGTTACTTCTGAACTCCATCTCCACCCACCTCGGCACACCCCATGTCCCCACTTGCCTTACTCAGAAGTGCTGAGGTCAGTTGTGGCACCCCTCTCACCTGCTGCCCGGGTGGAGATGAATTCACTCAGCAAAAGTTAGGATTAAACCTGGGATCTTCTAGCCTGTGTTGCTCAGTACCATGCTATGTGGTGCATTCAAGCACTGATAGCAGCTATGACAATGCCTTTTTAACGGTTAGGGCTGACATGTACTATGAAGATGCATGGTGCATTTCCTATCTAGTTTTGAAAGTCCCAGAGGTGCCATGCTCCCAGAGCGCAGCCTAACTAACAGGGCTGCGTGCGAATTGTCTTGATCACATTGTTGTTTTTTCCGTCATCGTCTTCTTTCTGATGCTCCTTTTTGTCTGCTGTGCATTTTTGCTGCGCTTGACCTGGATTTTGATTGAGTCTGAAATAAATGAACAGAAGTGTGAAGTACCGCTGGCGACACAGAAATGATTCAACGTGACAGTATTCTCCTTTCAGACAGCGAGTTGCTCAGAGAAATAGTAAAGAATAAAACAACAGTCTCTCTATCCAAGCTGCTAGCTTCAAAAGTAAGGGCACTCGAAGTGCAGAGAAACCTGTTAATGAACGGAAAACAACCTTCGAACTGTCCTTAGCATTTACACTGGAAGCGTAAGTTCAAGAAACCTTTAACTTGCTTTCTCACCAATTGAAGATCCGGCTAGCATTAATTATTGTCTAACTGACCTCAAGATGGAGTAACATCCTAATATACGGCCTTAAACAGACAAGTTACACTGCTGTAAGTGAAAATAGAATTTAGGCTGCCGAGATGCTAACACGATAACATGAGATAAAAGTACTTTTTTATTTATTCATGGGCGGTCATGTCAAGCGTCTCTTTTGGTAAGAGCTGAGCAAATACTTCCGATGATTATCAACACCGCTCCACAGTCTCAGCATCCTGCTGCGTTCTTTTACTACTCCCGTAACATGAGAATGGGATTAAATAGACAGCTCTTTCAAAGATCTGGCACAGGCACAATGGGCTGAATAGACGCTTCCTGTGCTGTATCATTCTATGACATTAACTGAAAGCCACACGTTTGGGAGCCTGCTGTCTAAAAAGGAATTTGATATTTGGGTTCTGAAAATCTTTTGCTGGCTGACTGTTTTTCCACCTTCTCCATTTTTTATTAGGAAACTACCTCCTATCAAGTGAAATTTAATAAGGCAGATTCTGACAAGAGTCCACTGCGCTGAATTGACTACTCACTAATGCGGAGGAGCACGAAGACCAAAGGTGATCTAAGTGTATTCAGACAAAAGTGAAACACTGTGGATGCTAGAAATCTGAAATAAAAAGGACAAAACTTGTGCACAAAGAAACACGGTTAATGCTTCATATTGAAGCAAAAGGTCATCAACCTATCATGTTAAATCTGCTTCTCCCTCCCCACAGATGCTACCTGACCTACTGTCTATTCCTAGCATTTTCAATTATTATTTTAGGTACATCTGCTGATCTTTAGATTCATTTACCTGCCTTTACTCCATATCCTGCCCACCACAGGAATAGGGGGAGGTCATTCATCCACTGAAGCTTGTTCCACTAATCATTCACATCATGGGTGCCCTGCACCTCAATTCCATTTACTCACCTTTATTCCATATCGCTTGATAGCTTTACCCACCTAGTAGTCTAAAAAATGTCAGTTGAAGGAGAGAAACAGAAAATAGCTTTCAAGCTGACCTCAGCAATTATACTGGATAGTTTGTACATCCCCTTGTGGAAGAAGTGCTTCCTAACTTTTCCTCTCGAACTAGTTTTAGTGCACATCCTCATTCAATTCCCCTACCTAACGAAATCTATTTAGGCATGAGAAAGTGATGTATTTATATACTAAAACAGTCATTCTGCATTCATGTGCATACACCACCGGTGCACCCAGATTTACCATCATAAATTAGAAGCAATCTGTTTTAAGAAGCTACAATTCACAAGGGAAGCAGTGACAGGATTGGGCAGGCTGCTGGGGCCAGCTCAAGGGAAGTGCACAAGGTCACTTTCATGTAATGGGTACCTTAGACCTACAAGCCAGCTGACATCATGACACATTCAAAGACCATGATCTAGGTTTCCATGAAGTGGGCATTTATTGATGGAGGTATTTGGACCTCCCCATGCTGTCCTCTTCATGGGCAGAATGGGTATCAATTGATGAATGTATAGTTGGCATGTGAATGGTCACTGCTAGGTTTCTGATATTTTGACAGGCGAGGATGGCTGCAACATAAATTGACATAGGTCTCAAAGGTGTTGTGTTGCCACTGTTGCAAGTTGTTGGAAGGGATCCTGAGGGACAGGATTTACATGTTTTTGGAAAGGCAAGGACTAATTATGGATAGTCAACATGGCTTTGTGCATGGGAAATCATGTCTCACTAACTTAGTTGAGTTTTATGAAGAAGTAACGAAGAGGATTGATGAAGGCAAAGCAGTAAACATGATCTATATGGACTTCAGTAAGATCATTCAACAAGGTTCCTCATGTAGCTGGTTAGCAAGGTTAGATCACATGGAATACAGGGAGAACTAGCCATTTGGATACCGAACTGGTTTGAAGGTAGGAGACAGAGGGTACAGGTGGAGGGTTGCTTTTCAGATTGGAGGCCTGTGACCAGCAGTGTGCCACAAGGATCGATGCTGGGTCCACTACTTTTTGTCATTTATATAAATGATCTGGATATGCACATCAGAGGTATGGTTGGTAAGTTTGCAGATGACATCAAAATTGGTGGTGCTGTGGACAGCCAAGAAAGTTACTTCAGAGTACAACGGGATCTTGATCAGATGTGCTGGTGGACCAAGGAGTGGCAGATGGAATTTAAGTTGGATAAATGTCAGATGCTGCATTTTGGAAAGACAAATCAGGGCAGGGCTTATACACTTAATGGTAAGGTCCTGGGGAGAGTTGCTGAACAAAGAGACCTTTGGAGTGCAGGTTCATTGTTCCTTGAAAGTTGAGTCGCAAGTAGACAGGATAGTGAAGAAGGTGTTTGATTTGCTTGTCTTTATTGGTCAGTGCATTGAGTATGGGAGTTGGGAACATTGGGAACATACAGGACATTGATTAGGCCAATTTTGGAATACTGCATTCAATTCTGGTCTCTCTGCAATAGGAAGGATGTTCTGAAACTTGAAAGGGCTCAGAAAAGAATTACAAAGATGTTGCCAGGAGAGATTGGAGAGTTTGAGCTATAGGGAGAGGCAAATAGGCTGGGGCTATTTTCCCTAGAGCATCGGAGGCTGAGGGGTGACCTTATTCAAGTTTATAAAATCATGAGGGGCATAGATAGGGTGAATAGCCAAGGTCTTTTCCCCAGGGTAGCAGAGTCCAAAACTAGAAGGCATAGGTTTAAGGTGAGATGGGAAAAATTTAAAAGGGGCAACATTTTCATGCGGAGGGTAGTGCATGTATGGAATGAGCTACTAGAGGAAGTGGTGGAGGCTGGTATAATTAGAACATTTAAAAGGCATCTGGAGGGGTATATGAATAGGAAGGTTAGCGGGATATGGGCCAAATGCTGGCCAATGGGACTAGATTAATTTAGGATATCTGGTTGGCATGGATGAGTTGGACCGAAGGGTCTGTTCCCATGCTGTACAGCTCTGTGACTCTATTTTATAACTTTGTGTCTGCCCCGCTTCCTCCACCATGAGCCATTACCTTGTCCTGGATTAAAGGGAACAGGCAGCATAACCAATGGCAAAGGTGAACAGTGAACTGGAGCTTTATGACACAAGTGCCCATCCTCAATTGCAGATAGGAACAGTCTTAGGATCTCAGTAATAGCAAATATACTTAATTTCCTGCATCACATGATATATAGTCAATTCCAAGTGTAGTAAATGGAGCAAAACAACAACGTCCTCACTGTTTAAAAAAGGATAAATCAGGTAATGACACATCTATCAGTCCAATCTCAGTCATGGGTAAGAATCAACGTTAGATAGAATACTTGAATTAAAAAAAAACAAGCATTTGTAAAAGGCATGTCATGTCTGAAAGATTTAATACAGTTTCCAAAAAAATAGGAATAATGATAAAGATAGACCAATACCTATTGAAAGGAATTTTCAGAAGGCATTTGATGTGTTTGTATATACGAAGCTTATTAGTAAAATGAAGACCCGCGTTACTGAAGTAAATGTGAAGAAAGACTCTGAACTCTGTTTCTCACACTAGAAACACTGAAGGTTTCTAACCTTTTCTGTTTTTATTACAGGATGTACGGAACAATGCAAAAAAAGAAAATTAAGAGTAGTAATGAAAGACTGTAACCCATTTGTGAGGGATACAAATGGTAGTAAGCCATAGAGATCAATGTTGGGATCATTTTTCTTTTGAATATGTATAATTTGGTCTTAACAAATGTATTTCAAAATAATGAAGAAGGTACTACCCTATTGAACACTGTTGTCTACCATGCTATTGGGTTTGTGCTGCAGCTTGTCAGAAATGAATTAATGAAGAAATAAAGGGAGAATGAATAGTGAGCAAGTACTAAAAGGAATCACATGCATATTGACATTATGCTGTATGAAGAAGAGAATAACTAATCAATCAACTTCCATCATAAGATCACAGACCAAAAATTGCCAAAATACCCACTTCACAGCTGTTCCTGTCATTCATTAATATGCCCAATAATAATATATATATACTCAATAATAATCAAAGATTCAAAAAAAGGCATTCTTCTGACCAATATGTCAAAGCAAGATTGTGAACAGAGGCTCTATATATTCCTCCTCCATCTTGTTACCACACTTGCTTCACATCAATAATACTGCAAACCCTTCATTGTGCTGGATAGGTAACCAGCCAGACTTGGACTCTCAGTGGATGCCTCATGCATTGGGAGGAAGATCACTGCCCTCTTACCCAGTGGCCTGCACAGGAAACATCCAGATCCTATTTTGATGAACTGCCCTCAAGAACACACATAAGGTCCACACAGAGCAACAGTTTCTGTTCTGGTGCTGTTGGGATGGTAGAATCAGTCAGGAACCAGTGCTCTGCCCTCCCAAAACAGAGCAGCCCATAAAACTGACTCATTCAGGTTCACTTAATTTAAAATATATTGATGCTTTGTTATTGCTTCTCATTGTTTTGTTTATTGGAGTGTGAAATCAAGTAAGGCACGTGACCTTTCATACAGGACTCATCTTCCAGAGCCTCCAGCACGTAATACAGGTGACACATTAATGCAGTTTTAAGTGAGTGTTACACTGTCAGAGATGCCACTTTGTGGATGAGATATTAAACCAAGTCTCTGCCCTCTCCAATTGTTCTACTACATAGAAGAGCAGGGGAGTTCTCTTTGATATTGTGGACAATGTTTATCCCTCAACTAACATTACTAAAACAAATGATCTTGTCACTAATGCATTGCTGTTTGTGGGAACTTGTGTGCAAACTGGCTGTTTCCTACATTATAATAATGAATATAATTCAAGAGTACTTTATTGACTGTGAAACCCTTTGGGATGTCCTTAGCTGGTGAAAGGTTATGTAGAAAAACATGCTCTTTCTATTTTTCTTTACTTAACACTCCACTGAAAATATCAATAAGAATTGCTGCCCTAGGTCGACTGTCCCTATTTATCATATTAAATAAGGAGCTGTCTAGACCTTACATGTGGGGGTGGAACCCTCATAAGGATTCTCCTATTTATTTAACTGTTACAGGACTCTCTCAGAGATGAGGACAGCCTGTCTGAAATTTTACTGCCTTCTCTCAATGTACCTGTACATAAAAATTTTGATGCGCTAGCTCCTGTAACAAGAAGAAATAGATCCCTTTCTCAGACCTATTCACCTCCTCCTTCCTCAATCTCCAAGGGTCAAACGGTGTCCAAGGTAAGGCAGCATTTCATTTGTGTTCTTTCAGTCTAGTCTGCTTTATTTGCTGTTTACAATGCAGCCTCTGTTACACTGGCAAGACCAAATGCAGACTGGGTGACCACTTTGTGGAATACCTCCATTCTGTTCAAAGGAATGACCCTGACCTCCCAGTTGCTTGCCATTTCAGTAAACCACCTTGCTGTCATGCTTTTTGTTCTGGGCCAGGTTCTAATGAAGCACAACACAATGAACCACACCCAATTTTCCACTTAGGCACTTACCTCCAAGTCTGACTGCACTTTTCTTACACTCGCTCCCAGTCCCAGGGCTTGGCTTGTTTGTGTCTTGTTTACTTTGCTACTTCACCTGACGAAGGGGCAGTGCTTGAAAAGCTCGTGATTTCACATAAACCTGTTGGACTATAACCTGGTATCGTATGACTTCTGGCCTTGTCCACCCCAGTGTAATACCAGCACCTCCACATCGTGCTCTCAACAGAGAGGACCAGTCTCTCCCTCAATTCACACCCATTTTACATCTCTATTTTTCTTCCACCATCATTAACAATCCCATTGTCTTGTACACTGGGCCTCCACACCATCTACCATTGTACCCCTACAGTGTGGAAACAGGTCATTCAGCTCAACAAGTCCACACTGACCTTTTGAAGAGCACTCTACCCAGACGCACCCTATCTCTGTAACCCTGCATTTGCCATAGCTAACACACATCTAACCTACACATCCCCGGACACTATGGGCAATTCATCAAGGCCAAACCACCTAACTTGCACATTTGTGTACTGTGGGAGGAAACCGGAGCACCCGACAGAAACCCACGCAGACACAGGGAGAACATGCAAACTCCACACAGACAGTCAGAGAAGATCATAGAATCCCTACAGTGTGGAAATAGGGCCTTTGGCCCAAAAAGTCCACACCAACCCTCAGAGCATCCTACCCAGATCCACCCCCCTATAATCCACCTCATCTACACATCCCTGAACACTATGGGCAATTTAGCACAGACAATCCACCTAGCCTGCACATCTTTGGACTATGGGAGGAAACCGGAGCACCCCGAGGAAACTGACGCAGACACAGGGAGAACGTGCAAACTCCACACAGACAGTTGCCGGAGGCTGGAATCAAACCCGGGTTCCTGGCGCTGTGAGGCAGCAGTGCTAGCCACCAAGTCGCCCAAGGGTGGAATCAAACCCAGGGTCCCTGGTGCTGTGAGGCAGCAGTGCTAACCACTAAGCCACTGTTTCCCTTACCCCTCTTCCACCTCTGTCAAAACTACATAAAGAAAATATTTTCTATTCCTTTCAGTTCTGAATAAAAGTCATACTGGACTCAAATGTTAATTCTGCTTTCTCTCTCTACAGATGCTGTCGGACCTGCTGAGTTTCTAATGCATTTTTTTGTGTTTGAGGAAGATCTCTTCCGATATAATAGATAGGATGTTGAACCATAGGGGATGAGGCTGTGCTTACTTACATTACTTTCTAGAAGCAATGGAGATTTGAAGTAAAGTGAAAAAAATATGTTAACGTCTTTTCTGCTGAAGGAATTGAAGTGACTACATTAAATTGAGCAACATGCCTTTACTGGCCTGTAAAGTGACACATTTTTGAATTGTCATTTAATTTTCTATTGATTACACTTTGAAAGTTGTAGATTGAAATTCATTACAGTTGGAACAGCCTAACGACTGAGCCAACTCGGTCTTCTGCTCAAATTCACTAATGTCCCAGAAAACACAGTTTGTGTGAGTGATTATTGCTGTTATTGTAGGAATCTAGCTGTGCTACCCACTGAGAGACATCAGGTTTTGAGGTCATATATGCAATGGTTATTTTCTCACAATTCCCTGGAGAAAAATGGCAATTAGAAAATGCTGTAACAGTTTTGAAGTGAAGTGTTAGTTTAATTGCCTAGTCCCTGTCTGATTTCTTTTTGGGAACTTCACACTATATTATATGTGAAGACAGGTGGTTTGACATCACCCTGAACAGCTTAGCTCTTACTTAAAATTGATGAACAGTTCCCCCTTTATTATGGCTTACAGCAAGCATCAACTTAGGTTTCTGCATGAGTATACCTCACACATCAAGTCATTCAGTTTTGTCTCTGAGTAACAGTGACTGAGTCAAAAGGTGGTTTTTGTGTAAACTACATTAATGCTACCTGCAAGAAGAAGTAAAACCATCTTCATCACCCTGGGTTGAATGGAAAGAGCTGAAAAGATTTTGGATAACAAATTACCTTGTGCAGCTCTTTTGCTGCTGTCTTCATTGCGTTGGCATCACAGACTAATTTATATATTTTCTACATTCTAAACCAGGCATGACTTGCTGAGATGGCCATCCTGGCAATGAAAACTTTTAAACAGAAATAACCTAAAGATAGGTCGTGAAGATTTCAAGTGATGAGGCTTGAAGCTATTTCTTTTTTTTCCATTGGCAGCTTTTTTCCATCGTGGGATTGGGCTCGGGAAGAAAGAGAGTTTGATTTTCGTTTCTGATTCAAGTGTTCAGAGATAGGAGAATTCCTGACTCCATAAATGTGAATAAAAACTGAAAGAACTGCGGATGCTCTAAATCAGGAGCACAAACTTATGTTGCTAGAAAAGCTCAGCAGGTCTGACAGCATCTGAGAAAAAAAAGAGTTAACTTTTTGAATACGGTGACCCTTCTCAGAATCCTCAGTTCAGAGGAAGGGTCACCGGACCCGAACCATTAACTCTGGTTTTTCTTCACAGGTGCTGCCAGACTTGCTGAGCTTTTCTAGCAATTTCTGTTGTTGTCCATGAGTCTGACCTTTAAAAAAAAATCACCTGGAACTTCCCATTTTTGGTGGTAGGGGTTGGAATTTGATTGGAATTTGGGGCAGTTGACCCAGGAAGACATCTACAGGATGCCTAGTGAGGAGGTGTAATCAGTGAGTTTATGTACTTTTTATGCATGAACATGCCTTCTTTCAACAATCCTTAAGTGCTATCTTATCTCCCAAGAAGTGCCTTATTTCCACCAAAGGGCAACTTACCTCCCCAGTCTCTCCAAAAGAGGAACTCCCTGGCTGTCCAAATGAATCACAAATTTCGGACCTGATCATACATGGCCTAGTTTACATGCCTCAGTTTTCAGAGACCCATCTCACCAAAATTCTGCAGGAATTAAGGCAGCTGATGATTTAAGCGGCCAACTGCTTCCACAAGCTATGGGGATCCTGAGCCGAACCCATACCCACAGTACAAAATTGGGATTTATTTGGGGGTGGGACTTAGGGTTTTAGGTTACTTCTGCTATTGTCACTATGTTGGAGAGAAAACATGGACTGCTTCCTTGGAATGAACAGTCTTTGTAGTTTATATGGACGATGACCTAGTGTTTTTGAAGACTTGCCTCCATTACTTGGCACTAATTTACATTGAGGTAATTTTTTTTGCAGTTTCCCTTTAAGATAGGGCCTGCCTTTAGCAGCAGGTTGGCTATGCTGTTTGGTTTGCAAACAATGCTGGAGGGCAATCTTGCTCAGCTGGGGTTGGCAGTGTTCAAGAGGAGTACTCTGTGTGTGAACCGATAATGCCAACACAGCAGTCTGATCACATCAAGTGGGTAGATGGGAGCTTGTGCACTACCCACTTATATC